AAAAAAAAAAAATTCTCATAACAACTACATGATGCAGTTCCTACTACCATCCCTAGTTTTAATGAGGAAACTGAGGCATAGAGGATTAACAAGCTACTAAGTCCTAGAGCTAGAGTCTGATCTAGATAGCTTAATTAGACTCTATTGTTAGCTACTAGCCTTATAGAAAAAATAAACACATTCCAGCTTGTATTTATGTTGCAATTAGTATCTCTGTCAAAATCACCATTTTACTTTAATTCCACTTTGTTAAACTCCCATAGCTATGAAATGTCTGAGTAATTTAAGTATCTGACAGGTCAAGACCACATTTGTTAAATTATGAAGCAGGAGCCATCTCTTCTACTTAGCTATGAGCTCCTTAAGAGCTGAGACATAGTCCACTGTACCTCCAGCCTAACAGTACTCTTTGTGTGCTCAAGAGATGCTGGCTAAACCAAAGAAACACTATAGAGGGTAATGCTGTATACCTCAGTGGCAAAGCTCTTTCTCATCATGAGCAGAGGCCAGGCTGCAAGCCCTAGGGCTAAGAGAGGAGAGATGGTCTGGGGCTGGAGGTAGGAGAGACAAAAGAGAGGACGGATGGGCAGAAGAACACGATGAGGCCATTGGGTTATCTTCTACTTCTGCTCAAATACCCTAGACCAGAGAGTCATCTAGCCTCTGCCTGAGCAGCAGCAGCCATTACTGAAGTAAGTGAAAAGACAGCTGTTTCCCCGATCTGATGGCTGTACCATAAGAAAGTTTGTACTTTACACGTAAAAAATCTGTTGTTATGTAAATTTGAGTCAGCAGTTCTGTCCTCTAGAAGAAGAAAGTAAGCTGATTCTCTTCACTTTACAGAATTTCAGGTATTTAAGGCAGCTATCAAATTCTCTATCCATCTGCTCTTCTCAGACTAAGCTGCCCCAGCTCCTTCAGCTGTTTTCATGACCTAGTTTCTAGCCCCATGGCCATTATGTAGCTACACTCTTCCATTTGTTAATATCTGTTTTAAAATGTGACAGCTGGAAGGAGCTCCACATTGTGTCTTAAGAATCATCTGGGGGCTGGGAAGGTGGCTCAGTGGTAGAGCACTTGCCTTGCATGCATGAGGCCCTGGGTTCGATTCCTCAGCACCACATAAGAAAAAAGCCGGAAGTGGCGCTATGGCTCAAGTGGTAGAGTGCTAGCCTTGAGCTGAAGAGCTGAGGGACAGTGCCCAGGCCCAGAGTTCAGGCCCCACGACCGGACCCAAAAATAAATAAATAAATAAATAAATAAAGCCTCTAATATTTCTACTTGTCAAAAACATTTTGTATACTCATTGTATCATTACCTTAATGAGCATTCCCAGAATTAGTTATATAAAATTTGAGAAACATGCTTTTCCTGATTTAATTCAAATGACTGCTGAAAAGGTTGAGGGTGGCAGGGCCAATATCAGTTTTACAGGGTTCTCTCTATACTTTTTTTTTTTTTTTGTCGGTCATGGGGCTTGAACTCCTGGGCGCTGTCCCTCAGCAATTCAGCTCAAGACAAGTGCTCTACCACTTAAGCCACAGTGCCACTTCTGTTTTTCTGGTGGTTTATTGGAGATAAGAGTCTCAAGGTCTTTCCTGCCCAGGCTGGCTTTGAGCTTCGATCCTCAGATCTCAGCCTCCTGAGTAGTTAGGATTACAGGCGTGAGCCACTAGTGCCTGGCCTCTCTATACTCTTTATCAATCTGCTCATCAGTATCTTGGAGGGTTGGTGGGAGAAGGCAAATGTAAAAGTACACACAGATGAAGTCATGACTGGCTTATCTACAGCACTGTAATGTCATCATCAGATAATCATTTCTAAAAACTCTAAAACCTAGCTCCGTTTTCTGAAAGGAAGAAAATGAGTCAAATGTTTCTATGCCTTAAGCATATAATAAACTTTGTGGATGTTTTTTCCCCATGTAAAGCAACAAGAAGAAAATGATTCCCTAGCAGGGAACAATAACCTTGTAGAGTCCTTTTGGTCCTGTATCACCATGCTCTCCTCAGGAAGCTGCAGCCATCTTTCCAGTTCCTCGTCGAGAGTAGAATGAGCTCTGTCCAAAGGCAAGTGAAGAGAACAAGACAACAGTAAATTTCCTCCCTTGACAAGGAAGGAAACCACTTCAGAGTTGAAGGGACTTAAAACTGGTATTTTCAGCTGGGAATGTGGCTTAGTGGTAGAGTGCTTGCCCAGTATGCATGAAGCCCTGGGTTTAATTCCTCAGGACCACATAAATAGAAAAGGCCAGAATTAACACTGTGGCTCAAGAGGTAGAGTGCTAGCCTTGAGCAAAAGCAGCTCAGGAACAGCACCCAGGTCCTGAGTTCAAGCCCTGGGACTGGCAGAAACAAACAAACAAACAAAAAGACACAAAAAAACCCCAAACAATTGGTATTTTCACTGGGAAAATGAGAGCTTGGAAAGATCATAGAGATCACTTATGTCCAATTTACATGTGGACTAAAATAGTTGTTAGCCCTTTGACAAAAGTCAGCATCCATGAGATCACGCCACCTCCAAAGTGCCACGTCATTAAATTAGTTTCTACTTGAAGCTAGATTAAGTTTTTTGTTGTTGTTTTGCATTACAAACTTCTCTGTCTAGAAGATGCTATTAAGGTGTTTTAAGAAGGCCTGAGCTGGGAACTGGTGGCTCACACCTGTAAGCCTATCTACTCAGGAGGCTGAGATCTGAGAATCATAGTTCAAAGTCAGCCTGGGCAGAAAAGTCCAGAAAACTGGAAGTGGCACTATGGCTTAAGTGGTAGAGTACTCGCCTTGAGCTGAAGAGCTCAGGGACAGTGCCCACGTCCAGTGTTCAAGTCCCACTACTGGAAAAAACAAACAAAAACCTGAGAACTGGGCACCAGTGGTTCATGCATGTATCCCTAGCAACTCCGGAGGCCAAGATCTAAGGACTGAGGTTTGAAGCCAGCCCAGGCAGAAAGTCCCCATGAGACTCTTTTTTTTGGGGGGGAGGGTGGGCAGGGGTCTGGTCATGGGGCCTGAACTCTGGGCCTGGGCGTTGTCCCTAAGCTCTTCAGCTTAAGTCTAGCACTCTACCACTTGAGCCACAGCACCACTTCCAGCTTTTTCTTTTTGCTTATGTGGTGCTGGGGAATCGAAACCAGGGCCTCATGCATGCAAGGCAAGCGCTCTACTACTGAGCCATCTTCCCAGCCCCCCCATGAGACTCTTTTTTTTTTTTTTTCAGTCATGGGCTTGAACTCTGGGCCTGGGCGCTGTCCCTCAGCTCTTCAGCTCAAGGCAAGCGCTCTACCACTTGAGCTACAGTGCCACTTCCGGTTTTCTGGTGGTTTATTGGAGATAGGAGTCTCACGGTCTCTCCTGCCCGGGCTGGCTTTAAACTGCGATCCTCAGATCTCAGCCTCCTGAGTAGCTAGGATTACAGGCGTGAGCCACCAGCGCCCGGCCCCCATGAGACTCTTATCTCCAATTACCTACTCAAAAACTGGAAGTAGAGCTGTAACACAAAATGGTAAAGTGCTAGCCTTGAGCAAAAGAGGTCAGAGACAGTGCACAGGCACTGAGTTCAAGCCTTACAACCACCACCACCACCACCAAAGTCTCTGGAAAAGATTTTGCTTTCCAGATAAAAAGAAACAGATCTGGCAGGGCCCTGCTGGCTCACACCTAAAAACATAGCGACTCAAGAGGCTGAGGTCTGAGGATTGCAGTTCAGAACTAGCCCAGGCAGATAAGTCCATGAGACTCTCCAATTAACTGCCAAAAAGCCAGAAGTGGAGCTGGCTCAAGTGGCAAAGCACCAATCTTGGATTTAAAAAAAGCTCAGAGACAGCATCCAGACCCTCAGTTCAAGCCCCAGTACTTGCACAAAAGTGGATCAAGAGGGGGAAGATTCAGCTAACATATTCCTTTGTCCCATCCTGTTATCTCTCTCTAATGTGTGGACATCAGCATCTTTGCAATCAGAGATGACAAGCCAAAAACAAATGGCACTATGTCACAGACAGTAGATCTGAAGGACAAAAAAGAGCTTAAATCCCTAGTGGCACTAACAGGAGCCCTGCCACCAATGGATCTCTTACTAAGTAAGACAAATTCATGTTAAATGTGATCATTTGCAACTAATAGCAGATTCTGTAAGGTCAGGATTAGGAATGGTTCAAGTGTAAACTTAGATAACTTTTTTTTCTTTTTGCACTAAACTTGATTTGAAACAAAGCTACATCAAAATATTGCTCACCCTATTCCTAGCTTTGACTGACAGCTAAAAGAAGACAAAAGAAGTTAGGCAAAGAAAATGAGCTGAAATGGTTTACTTTACAACACAGTAAAAGGAGAACTTCTGAGGCAAGACCAAAACCAGATTTCTTTTTCTTTTTTTTTTGTCAGTCGTGGGGCTTGAACTCTGGGCCTGAGTGCTGTCCCTCAGCTCTTCAGCTCGTTAGCACTCTACCACTTGAGCTACAGCGCTACTTCCAAAACCAGATTTCATAAGGCAACCAGACTGAATTGTTTGGAAAACTGTCCTTTTCTCTTTTAGTGGCTAAAAAGAGTTAAAACTTTAATTAAAATATTCTAAACAAGCTGAAACTTGCTTGCCTCCTAAAGTGGTTAGAACAAAACAAAACCCAGTAACAACAGAAGATAGACCTATCAAAAAACTGACCAAAAAAAAGGGCTGTATGAATGTAGCCTAGTAGTAGAGTGCTTGCCTACCATGCAAAGCCCCTGGTTCAATTCCTCAGTACCACATACACAGAAAAAGCTGGAAGTGGTGCTGTGGCTCAAGAGGTAGAGCTCTAGCCTTGAGCTGAAGAGCTGAGGGACAGTGCCCAGACTCAGATCAAGCCCTACCATTGACAAAAAAAAAAAAACTGACCAAAAAAGCCAGGTGCTAGCCGGGCGCTGGTGGCTCACGTCTGTAATCCTTGCTACTCAGGAGGCTGAGATCTGAGGATCGTGGTTCAAAGCCAGCCTGGGCAGGAGAGACCGTGAGACTCCTATCTCCAATAAAACCACCAGAAAACCGGAAGTGGAGCTGTAGCTCAAGTGGTAGAGTGCTTGCCTTGAGCTGAAGAGCTGAGGGACAGTGCCCAAGCCCAGAGTTCAAGCACCACGACCGACCAAAAAAAAAAAAGCTAGGTGCTGGTGGCTCACACCTGTAATCCTAGCTACTCAGGAGGCTGATGTCTGAGGATTACGGTTCAAAGCCAGCCCAGGCAGGAAACTCTGTGAGACACTTACCTCCAATTAACAACCAGAAAACTGGAAATGACACTGTGGCTCAAAGTGATAGAGCACTAGCCTTGAGCAAAAGAGCTCAAAGACAGCAACCAGGTCCTTAGTTCAAGCACCATAACTGACAACAAAAAAAATTGACAAAGAATGCAAAGAGACATTTCTCCAAAGTAGATATACAAATGACCACAACCATATAAAAAAAAAATCAATGCTGAGATTCTTTGTCTCAAAAAGAAAACAGGAACTGGGAGCTGAGCACGGGTGGCTTATGCTTGTAACCCTAACCCATAATCTAAGGAAGCTGAGATCATGGTTCAAGGCCAGCCTGGGCTAAAAAGTCCCCTGTAAGACTCTTATCTACAAGTAACCATTAAAAAACCAGAGTTGGCACTGTGGCTCAAAGTGCTACAGCCTTGAGCAAAAGTCCAGGGACAGTACCCAGGCCCTGAGTTCAAGCCCATGACTTAAAAAACCCCAAAAAACAAAAAACAGGAACTTGGGATGTAACTCAGTGTCAGACTACTTACTTACCATACCATGTGCAAGGCCCCAAGTTCAATCCTCAGTATTTTAAATCAAAACCACAATGAGGTCATTGTCTCACAGCTAGTGTGTGTGTGTGTGTGTGTGTGTGTGTGTGTACGCATGCATGCCAATCTTGGGACTTGAACTCAGGCTTGAACCTGGCACTGTCCTTGAACTTTGTTTCTACCACTTTAATAACACTCAGCCCCACTTCTGACATTTTTGGCAGTTAATTGGAGATAAGAGTCTCTGGGGCTGGGAAGGTGGCTCAGCGCTAGAGCGCTAGCCTTGCATGCATGAGGCCCTGGGTTCGATTCCCTAGCACCACATAAGAGAAAAAAAAGCCGGAAGAGGCACTGTGGCTCAAGTGGTAGTGTGCTATCCTTGAGCTGAAGAGCTGAGGGACAGTGCCCAGGCCCAAAGTTCAGGCCTCATGACCGGACCCAAAAAAAAACAACAACAAAAAAATGTACTTACTACCTTACTTATGTAACTGTAACCCCTCTGTACATCACCTTGATCATAAAAAGTCAAAAAAATAAAGTTGGACCATCCTAAGCCAGGAATTATCTAAATGCTTAATACTATTGTAATATACTCTTAAAATGCTAACTTGCATTTTATCACACAAAGCTATCTTTTTAAGAGAAAGTAAAAACTTACTAGGACATAGTTTAAGAGAAAACAGTTGGTCAGGCAAGTTACAAGGAGAAAATGTTATTTTGTTATTTTTTTTTTTTTTGGTCGGTCATGGGGCTTGAACTCTGGGCCTGGGCGTTGTCCCTCAGCTCTTCAGCTCAAGGCGAGCGCTCTACCACTTGAGCTACAGCACCACTTCCGGTTTTATGGTGGTTTATTGGAGATAGGAGTCTCACGGTCTCTCCTGCCCGGGCTGGCTTTGAACCGAGATCCTCAGATCTCAGCCTCCTGAGTAGCTAGGATTACAGGCGTGAGCCACCAGCACCCGGCTACAAGGAGAAAATGTTTATGTTGTTGCGCCATACAAGGTTGGGGTCAGACTTTTATGGGCTAACTTTTGATTTTGCCAGTTGGCTGTCTGGTTGCCTCTTTCCTGGATCATGTTTGAATTTCACTCATACTAGAACATTTTCTGTGCTCAGTTCTTCCTCATTCTGTGCACAATTTAAATATATGTATTTTATTTTTATTTTATTTTTTTTGGTCGGTCGTGGGCACTGTCCCTGAGCTCTTCAGCTCAAGGCTAGTGGTCTACCACCTGAGCCACAGTCCCACTTTCGGCCTTTTCTGTTTATGTGGTGCTAAGGAATCAAACCTAGGGCCTCATGCGTGCAAGGTAAACACTCTACCACTAAGCCACCTTCCCAGCTCTAAAATGTATTTTTTTTTAAACAAAAAGCTCTTTTAAAAAAATAGAGACTAGTAGGATATTATTGGGAAAAGATGGCTTACACTTCTATTATTTATCAATAGGAATAGAAACAAGTAATAAAAACCAATCTAGAACTAGGTACTAGTGGCTCATGCCTATAATCCTACTTAGTAGGCTGAGACCTGAGGATCTCAGTTTGATACCAGCCCAGGCAGGAAAATCCATGAGACATTTATCTATAATTAGCCACCAGAAAATTGGAAGTGGAGCTGTGGCTAAAGTGGCAGAGCACTAGTGTTAAGCGAAAAAGCTAAGAGACAGAGCCCAGGCCCTGAGCTCAAGCCCCACAACCACCACCACCAACAACAACAAAAAACACAATTCTTTAAATCTTTTTGAAAGTCTAGCTTTTAGTATTACCTCTCTGTGTCCTCTCCTAGGTCCTGATTTTCTTTGGTCCAAAGCAAACTATCTTCTTTATTATTGTCAGCTTCTTGTTCTTCTGAACGCTTTTGATCTAAAAACAATTTAAAGAATTAATTGTAGGGGCTGGTGGCATAACTCAGTGGTAATGTGCCTGCCTAGTAAATGTGAGACTTTGAGTTCAAGTATCCCAATAATGCAAAAAAATATAGAGGTGGGGTAGGGGACAGGTAAGAAAGAAAGGAGAGAGAAGGGAAAGACAAGGGAGAGAGTGAAGGGAGAGGAGAAAGGGGAGAGATAACTTTTATTTTTACAAAGAAAATTTACAAAGCCTTTCTAAAGCATGCAATGCAAAAGCTCATCTCTTCCCATGATGCCAGGTGGCAAACCACAGGATACCTGTATTCATAGCAGCTGTTTCTGGGGTCTTAGGACCTTTTTGGTGCCAGATAAAGCTACAGGAAACCTAGTCTGTGCCAAGGTTCAGAAAGGGGAGGTGTGGGAAGCAGAGGAAAGACAGGACACACAAAAGAGGAAATGAGGACTACAGCAGAGTTCAAATAGTACAACTCAGGCCTACCAAATGTGAGGTCCTGAGTTCAACTCCCCAGTACTGCAAAATAATTTTTTAAAACTTTTTTAAAAAAGAAGTGATTTGAAAATAGATGGAATAAATTTACTTTGAGGATTCACTGATTGAGGATTCACTGTTTTCAGTGAAAACTAGGGAAGAAATTTGAGTGGAAAAGAGATATGCCCTCAATATATACCAAGAATTTTCTCATTTCATCTCAACCATAGTCCTATAAGGGAAGAGGACTAACATCTGAGAAGTGTTTTACAACATACCAGGCACTGAACTGAGGCTATTATGTACATCATGAAATAGGAATTATTATTCCCATTTAAAGGTAAGGAAAAATGAGGTTCAGATTTAAACAGCTGGCCATACAAAAGTAACTGTTGGAATGAGAAGGAGCAGTGCCCGACCTCACAGTCACATCTCCACCTCACCCCGTGGACAACTATACTGTCAAGGACAGAAGTACAGGAAGAACTTGCTTATTCAATTATAGAGAGGAATGAAATTGTGTTGTTTGTGGGAAAATGGAGAGAACTAGAAATCATCATGTTACATGAAATAATACAGATTGAGAAACATCACATGTTCTCTCGCAAAAGACACAAAACAAAAACAAGGGGAAAAAGAATGAGTGTAAAGGAGTGTAAAGAACAAATGTTTGCAAGAGGAAATCAGCAGGATTGGATAGGTAAAAGGAAGGGGGCAATGAATATGATAAAAGTGCTTCATACGGGGCTGGGAAGGTGGCTCAGTGGTAGAGTATTTGCCTCGCATGCATGAGCCCCTGGATTTGATTCCTCAGCACTACATACACGGTAAAAGCCAGAAGTGGCGCTGTGTCTAGTACTCTAGTACTGGTAGAGTACTAGCCTTGAACTGAAGAGGTGAGAGACAGTGCCCAGGCCCAGAGTCCAAGCTCTAGGACCAAAAAACAAAAACAAAAACGAAAGTGCTTTATACACACAAATTAAAATAGAACAAAATTATTTTAAGGTAGGGAGGATAGATAAGAGTGGATTTGATCAAAGAATATTATATGCAGGTATGGAAATACCAGAATGAAGTTCATTTGTATAATTAATATATGCTAATTAAAAAGAAAAATGTTTCAAAAGAATCTAATGAAAAAGATCTGGGCAATTAGCTCACCATTTTCAATGACCCTTGGATCACATGCTGTGTTTGCATGAGACACTGTGGCTGAGGCCTGCTGCTGCTTCAGTTGCTCTGTCACAGTACAAAAGCAGAAGGTAACTCATTCCACATCACACCATTCCTCCAGAGTAGTGGTTCTCAAAGGGCAGTCTTTAGACCAGCAGCACTGGCATAACCCAGGAACTTGTTAGAAATGCACATCTTCCAGCCTCATTCCAGATCTGTGGAGTCTGAAACTCTGCAGTGTGCTTCAGTAATTTGTATTTTAAGGCTTTTAGGTAATTCTAGGCCTAAGTTTGAGACCCACTGCTCTAGAGCATTCTGTGTTTGAAAGGAATTCTTCAAGTAAAACAAAATCCTGAATAATACTCAAGATAAAAAATACTGATGATGATGATGGTGATAATGAAGAAGACACATAACACTTGAGGAGCTCTTTATGGCAGGTACAGTTTCTAAGCTCATGTACATAAATGCATCATTAATGTTCACAATCTTACAACAACCTTATGAGATTGACTGCAGTATTATTAGTCCTGTTTAAAAGAAGAGGAAATTAAGGTTAACCAAGATCACAGGAATAAGTGGGAGAATTGAGATTTGAATCTAGAGAGTCCAGCTCTAATTTTTATGCTTCTAATCTCCATGTTATACTCTCAACTGCAGAGGTATACAAGTGTTCCATCATTATCTATACTGTCTATATGTCATACTGTTTAACTATAAAGACAGAAGGCAATGGATATCACCATTTCCAGCTACTAAAGAAATGCACTAGACCAAGATAAGCACCTGCTAAACTCAGTAGCTATTTTGCATTTGTTAGGCACTCCTCGGAACACAGCATATCAGAACAAGAGAGCTAGCTGTGGGGAGCACAGGCAGGCCACCCTAAGCTCACAGGCATGGGTGTATTCTGAGAAGGGGCAGGTTGGTGGGTCTCCTTCCTGCAATATAGGATAATAGCCACACTTGACAACTCTTGGCCAGCAAGAGGACCTAAAAAGATCATTTAATTATGTGAAATAGAAAAAAATCATTTTCATCCTTAATAACAATAACCCCTTGCTGTTCTTAAATAATTACCTATATCCTAAAGTTGTAAAGGACTCTTCTCTTTAGGTTCCTGCCAGGAACCTAGAGTTTTCCATGTGGAGCCTCCAAAAGAGCAGGTGAGATGTCCAGGGAAACAGAAAAATACTGATATATAATAACTGGGTAAGTAGGCCTATTACCAAGAAAAACTACTCAGGAGGCTGAGATCTAAGGATCGTGGTTCAGAGCCAGCCTGGGCAGGAAAGTCTGTGAGATTCTTATCTCTAATAAACCACCAGAAAACCAGAGAGGGCACTGTGGCTCAAGTGGTAGAGCACTTGCCTTGAGCTGAAGAGCTGAGGGACAGCGCCCAGGCCCAGAGTTCAAGCCCCATGACCGACAAAAAAAAAAACAAACGTAAAATGTGGGAAGGTTTTTGTAGACTATGATGAAGCACAACAATGCCATGAGGCCAGAGCCTAGGAAGAAGCATGGGACTACAGCTGCTGAAATTGGGAAGGTATAGGGAGAGTTCAACTGTAACTACAGAGAGAAGACAGCAGGATCCAGAGGCAAAATATCAGTTATGGTCAAACTGCAAAGAAGCCTGAAGCCCTGGCTGAAGAACAAATGATAAGAACTTATCTCGACAGGATATATGGTGGTAACCTCCATTGCTAAAATTGTATCATTATTTTAAGAAAAGCATTTAAGGAGGCAGAATTTGCAAGAAGTACCTAGAAAGTCTCAGAGGTAGAAATCATGGCACAAAGTGTTGTCCCTAAGAGCCCAGACCCAACAACCCTGTGGCACTGGGGGAAGGCTTCAGTGAGGCAAAAAAGGGCCTATAGGACTTGGGGTATAGTCCAGCAGTAGAGCACTTGCCTAAGGTACTGGGCCTAGGTTCTGTCCCTAGACACAAAAGAAAGCAGAAAGGGCTTGTAATTAAAAAAAAAAAAAAAACAAACAACTCAGCCCTGACTGACTCTAACCAAGTTCCTTTGGGTATGGGACAGGGTCTGAGGGTTATGAGAGCCTACAGGGTAGCTTTCCCTTGAGTTATACCAGTAAATTCTTATTTCTTATCAAACACAACCTCAGATCTTGAAAACTGACTAGTACCTGATTTAGAAAATTCTCCATAGGCTCTATAGCAAGAACTGACCTGGACTATCATAAGTCCAATAACAGGCATCCAGCTGCAAATAGACTGATACTATTCAATAAAAATTCTAGTCTCATGTTCTGTCCCACTACTCTCCTGATCTTAGAAAAGAGATCTATCCACAGTTCCAATACCTTTCTGCTACCTGTAAAAATAAAAATAGAACTCTTGGCCTGAGCAGGCATCTAAGAAATGGTGTGTAGACTGAAAAGGAGATAAAGAGAATTCCTTTAATCAAAAAAGTTCACCATCACAAACCATTTGACTTTTTCCCCTTTAGAATCATTACCATAACTTCTTTTTTTCTTCTTCTTCTTCTTTTTTTTTTTTTTTGGTCTGTCCTGGGTGCTATCCCTGAGCTACTTGACTTAAGGCAAGTGCTCTACCACTTGAGCCACAGGGCTACTTCTGATTTTCTGGTGGTTAATTGGAGATAAGTGTCTTACAGATTTTTCTGCCCAGGGTAACTTTGAACCGTGATCCTCAGATCTCAGCCTCCTAAGTAGCTAGGATTACAGGCGTGAGGCACCAGTGCCTGGCATACCATAAAACCTTTTAAGTAAACACAACAAGAGCAGATATGAGCCAGTTATTGCAGCCAGCCTCTTTCAAAATTTTATATATTCAACCAGACTTTCATAGAACATTTTGTATTAGTGCTCTGATCTGAGAAAAAGAAACTGTATCATGATCAGTGACCATAACCTACTTACAGGAACAAGGAGTAGATTTTACATTGAATGTTCCTTACCAATTTCATCAAGTAGCTCCTGAGATGGTGGTGGTAGCTCATCAATGTGATGCTGTGAGATGGCTTCCACTAGTTCTTTAAAAAAATAAAGGAGAAAATAGTAATATCTTCTTGGTCTTAAGTTGCATTTTTCTCAGCTCCCCATAGACTTGACTATGAGGGACAAATTTAAGAAAGAAGGAAGTCTTTTACATAACAGCCTTAGTAGACATCTCCTAACATGTGAATGGCCTTTACTACCCTTTTTCATCCTCCTATTCTAGCACTTTTTATTTGTTGCCCTTTCTTCCTTTTTTTTTTTTTGTTGGTTGTGGAGCCTGAAGTCTGGGCCTGGGTGCTGTCCCTCAACTCTTCAGCTCAAGGCTAGTGCTCTACCACTTGAGCCACAATGCCACTATGCAGTGCTGAGGAATTGAACCCAGGACTTCATGCAAACATTACAAGCACTCTACCACTGACCCACCTTCTCAGCCCTCCCCAATCTTCCTAAGGATCTTTTAATTAAGGTACAAATTCCTAAGTGTGAAGCACAATCTGAATCATGGTTGTTGGAGGGATACAGGATTCTGGCACAGCCAAAATGAAAGCACAAAGTGGGAGACTTTTCCCACTTTGAGCCAGGAGATACAGAAGCAACCATACTTTGGGTCCTGCCCCAAATGGTCAATTATTATATAATAAAACCTCTTATACCAGGCTGGGAAGGTGGCTCAGTGGTAGAGTGCTTGCCTTGCATGCATGAGGCCCTGGGTTTAATTCCTTGGCACCACATAAGCAGAAAAAGCCAGAAGTAGTGCTGTGGCTCAAGTGGTAGAGTGCTAGCCTTGAGCTAAGGAGCTGAGGGACAGTGCCCAGGCCCAGAGTTCAGGTCCCATGACCAACCAAAAAAACACAAAACAAAAAACAAACAACGAACTCTTAACCTAACTCACAAAATCCTTATTCCCTTATGGGAAATTCTAAGAGTTCTACTAAAGGCACAGACATTAAAATTAATGCAACAAAAGCAGTAAGCCTCAAGAGCTGTTAATACTCTCAGAACCTTTGACTTCAAAATTGTTTTCTAAGAATCTGTCCTAGATACGACAAAACTAACAGGACTTAAGAAACAAAGAACTCCTGCTCATCTGGTTGAACCACTACTAAATATCCCCATGCTGCTGATCACATGTAT